CACCTGCTTGAAGTTTCTCCAAGGCACTCTTGCAGGGCTGCAGGTTTTTGAGGAATTGCCAGGCAATGACTTTGAGGTGTTGCAAGTACTTGACCGGGTTGGCAAACATGACTCTGAAAGAGGAATCCTGGAACTGCTCGATGGTAATCCTCGCCACTTCCTGTTGGGAATCAGCAAAGGAAAATATCCAAAACAAAAAGTCAGCTGTGACAATGCAGGCTATGGCTATGGCTATGGCTCAGACTCAGACTAGTGACTAGAAGCGACTAACACCTGAGACTCTACCTGGTTTCTACATACATACTGGAGCACACAGACTGCTTACCTATCTATCTATCTTTCATCCACTAAGTCTAAGTCTAAGTAATCCACACTAGCTGAGCTAACGAGCTAGCTGTCTTTTGCTGTGTGTGCGTGCATGATCTGCAAAGTTTTCTTTCACTGCACACTGCGCAGTGAGTGTGATAGCTTATGGTATTGGTACTGGTAATAATGTTGTGCTCCCTGTATTTGCATGCTGCAAGCGTGCATGCAACAGACATATGACATAGCTGGGCGTGGCATGATCAAATAGACAGTTAGTGACTTAAGACCTCAGACTCAAAAGAGACCAAGAGATATGGTATATTATTTTTGCGCCCAACATGTCTATGCCACTTTTGGTTGCCCGGTCCCACACCACACAGGTAAGTCACATCTTGATGATTTCAACTTCCAGATTCCAGGTGTCTTGTTCTTTGAAAAAAGAGTGTGTCTGGCAAAACATGTATCACAACTGAACTGTGCCTTCAGAACCTCGACACAGGTGCCAGCTGCAGCTTCAATGAAGCCACTCTCCTCTGTGGCATTGCCATCCTCCATGTCTTTCACATGTCCTGTCAAAGTCTCGAAAGCTTCTAAGCACAGCCCTGACATCGTTGGCTGACAGCCATCCCATTCCTCACCACCCCCAAGATGAACAAGAAAACAATCCAAGAACTTGTTGACCTGGTTCACCAAATCTTGCTTGTCAGAGGAGTCTTCAGTGACAACTTCAGACACTCTGTGCATTTCCCGGATTGTGTAGGCAAACGTCACCTTGACCTTGAGGGCAATCGGAAACTTTGGGCAATACTCGGAGACAGCTTTGAGGGTGATGTCAAATTCAGCCCACGTGCTCAAATTCTTGGCCGTAATTTCCTCCAAGGTTTGGAGGTTGGTGCATAGCCTGATTCTGCGAGATAAGACCTGCAACTCATGGGAGTCGGGCTGGGTGGCCTGGAGACTTTTCTCGATTTTCTCTGCCTTAGATTCAGATGATGTCGAAGCAAGACCCAAGACCCTTTCAGATGCAAATGCGCAGCCATTGCCCATACTAATACTATATTATATGCTGTGCAACACCAACAAAAAGAAGGAATTAAGTAAGTAAGTAGCAAAATTTCGTATATCCAAAAGCATATGATGATAATTACACAAAAATATATCTGATTACATATACATTGTTATATAATATATTCTTACTTATATCTGATCTACTTTTACACACACACATATTTATATATATATACACACACATAAAATCGTGCTTGGCAAACAGACCAGCTACTCCTGTTATGCAGTGGCCCTTGTTGTGGTCAGTGGTACCAGTCATGAACACCTCAGGGGTCAGGAACTGCAAACTCTTGAAGCCGCTGTTTTTGGACGTCCTGTCTCCTTGGCATGAGACATGAAGCGCCGCCACTCCCTGCATCTCTGAGTCCAAAGCTTCAAACAGTGACTGTTGCTCCTTGGCCCTCTTGGATGACTTGTCTGACTTGGTACCATCCCCAATGGTCAGCAAGGGTTTGCTGGGCGCTGCTGTGCCTGAAGCTGAGGGCTGTGCTGCTGCTGCTGTTGCTGGGTCCTTTCCTTTGCCCTTTTTGCGAACAACTGGCTTCTTGGGTCCCTCTTCATCACCGAGGGCAGCCAGCATGGTGTCTGACTTCTTCACAGGTCCGACAGGTTCAGGCGCCTGAGCAGAGGCTCCGGCCCCAGCAGCGTCAGTGAGAAGGTTCTCCTGTCGAGTATTTTCCAGCAGAGCAGCTAGCTGCTTCAAGTCTTCCAAAGTCTGCAAGCTGGTGGAATCTGCAGTTGAATGGTTCATCAGCCCTGCAGGTCTTTTTCTTTCTCCATACTTCAAGGCTAAATGCTTGGAGACATCAGCGCCTTGTCCCTTGCTGAGTTGTGTAGCTTCATTCAACCAGACCCGGTCACTTCGGATGCCAACACTGTGGAAAAGCTTGACCTTCCGGATTGTCTGCATCAGATCGGCTGGCAAGCCTTGGAGTGAGATCAGGTAGAAGCTGACCTCGCCCTTCACTGAACACCACTCAGATGTGAACGGCTTGAGCTGGAGATCTTTGGCACTCTTGTCAACCAACCTAACCAGCTCTGAGTCTGTGAGCAGGCCGGCTTTGGAGTAGATGGTGTGTCCAAAGCTCGAGGTTTCTGCGATATCACTGCTAGGCAGAAAGAGCGGCAATGGATTTCCCTTTCTGGATTCCAATTCAAAGGCTATGGCCTCCCTCCCTTTGCTTGCTACATCTGCAAAGTGAGCATCCTCCTTGATGCGTTGGCAGAATTCCTGGAATGTGCTGCCAGGAAGCAAACGTTTGGCATTGGCCATGCAAATGATGTCGCCAGGGCTCACAGGGATTCCAATCTCGTTCGTCAAGAACTGCACTGTCTTAGTGCGGGCTGGTTGTTGGTTCCAACTGGCATAGCTTGACATAGCAGGATTTCTGATGGATTTAGAGATGCATGTTTTGCACTGAAGTCACTGAAGCAACTAAGTCTCAGTAGCATACAGCCATGTAGCCAGGTAAAAATCAAATTTCAATGGATAGCCGATAGCCATTTTAAAAAAATACTTTACTTCGAGTAATCCCCACCATGACATTTATACGTTTTGTTACTGGCAAATATTCTGGTATTCTATGTGACATATCTTCTGGCATTTTATCTGGCATATCTTCTGGCATTCTATCTGGCATACCTTCTGGCATTGTATCTGGCATATCTTCTGGCATTTCATCTGGCATATCTTCTGGCATTCTATCTGACATTCTATCTGGCGTTCTATCTGGCATACCTGCTGGCATTCTATCTGACATTCTATCTGGCATAACTTCTGGCATTCTATCTGGCATATCTTCTGGCATTCTATCTGGCAAACATTCTGGCATTCTATATGGCATATCTTCTGGCATTCTATCTGAAATTCTTCTGGCATAGCATTCTATCTGGCAAATCTTCTGGCGTTCTATCTGGCAAACATTCTGACACTTTATCTGGCATACCTTCTGGCATTCTATCTGGCATATCTTCTGGCATTCTATCTGGCATATCTTCTGGCATACCTTCTGACACTCTATCTGGCATTCTATTTGGCAAATCTTCTGGCATTCTATGTGGCAAAACATTCTGGCACATTCAACCTGGCATACCTTCTGGCATTCTATCTGGCATATCTTCTGACATTTTATCTGACATTCTATCTGGCATACCTTCTGGCATTCTATCTGGCATATCTTCTGACATTCTATCTGGCATTCTATCTGGCAAATCTTCTGGCGTTCTATCTGGCAAACATTCTGACACTTTATCTGGCATACCTTCTGGCATTCTATCTGGCATATCTTCTGGCATTCTATCTGGCATATCTTGAGGTCCAGCGGTGCTCACTGAGCTGGGCAGGTCCCAGGTTGAGGTCCAGCTGTGCTCACTGCGCTCCGAGGGTCCCAGGTTGAGGTCCAGCGGTGCTCACTGAGCTCGGAGGGTCCCAGGTTGATGTCCAGCGATGCCCACTGAACTCCGTAGGTCCCAGGTTGAAGTCCAGCGGTGCTCATTGAGCTGGGCAGGTCCCAGGTTGAGGTCCAGCGGTGCTCACTGAGCTCGGACGTTGGCGAAGAGCTTGGCGAAGAGTTGGCGAGTGAGCTTGGCAGAGGAGAAGGCGGAGGACGAGGAGGACGAGGAGGACGACGACGAGAAGGAGGAGGCGGAGGAGAAGCTAGCCGAGAACAACTCTGATAAAATCTAACAACCCTCACCTGGCAGGTGGGGAACTTGATTCATAACCCAGCTCCAGAAAAATGTCTTCGGCTACTTAGCCGCTAGCTGAGGCTGAAGTTTGAAGAACAAGCATCAGCAGCGAGGCTGCTTGGCATTGGTGGAGACGCAGGGGAAAACCATGGAACTTGTAACTTGTATATGGTTTAAGTTTAGTTTATGTCAAGGAATCTATACTATATCTGCACGCTTAAGCGAAAAAACACTCAAGAGGGCTCAATTCCAGCCGGTAGCTATTCCCTATTCCCCCAAAGTTGAATGATAAGGGTGTGGGCCTAGTATGACCAATGCCAAACTGAGAGAAACCTTCGAAAGTTTCTGAACCCTTGTTTTGCTTTTGTAAGACTCAAAGCACCTAACTGCTTCTTTGAACAGAGAGTAGAAAAGGAGAATGATGGCTCCAATGAAATGTTGTTGTTGCCATAAAATGGACTCGCTGTAGACTATCAACTCTAGACTAGACATTTTCAACTCTTGATTGTCTAGAGTCTAGAGTTGTAGATTCTAGAGTCTGGAACTTGGAAACCCAGCCCCAGCAACTAAATTAAGGCAAGTTGCCCCGGATGAGGATGAAGCACCACATGCTCCACAAACCACCTCATTGCCCCTCCGCTTCTTCACAGCTGGCTCTTCAGCTCTTTGATCAGCAGGTTCGACCTCCTCATCCCCCAAAGCAACGACCAAGGCGTTGGCTTGAGCTGCTTGCTCTGCCCTGAGAGCGGCTTTGGATGCTCTCTGCGCTGCTTTGGCAGCTGCGACCTGTCGAAGACAAGTGTGTCAAAACCTCCCATGTTATTGTTCACCATGTCTCAAAGTGATAGTCATAGTCATAGTGACATAGTGATAGTGGTGGAATCAGGTTTATCATGTTTGTGCATGTTGTGTTTTCATGTGCTAGCTGGCTTCAAGTTATTTGTTCTGGGCCCAAATCCGAACTTAAATGTCTAGATTCTAGATTCTAGATAAGAGCCTAACTCCAAATCCAACATCAGAATGCCAGATGATAACAGATTGTCAGGTCCAGGTACATTTCTGGTAAGATTGCATGACCCCAAGAACATGGAATTTACATTCAGCAGTGAAAGTCACGTCGCACATCTCCAGTCATCGTGCATCATCAAAGTCAAGTTTCAATATGTCTCAGCATGTATGATGAGTATGATGCCCACATGTGTGTGGTACATGTTGGGTACGGCGGGTACGGGTACCGGGTACAAATAGTCACCTTTCATTGAAGCTATATTGAGTTGCAATTTAGTTGTAATTGAAACACTATCAGATCACCAAGTGCACATGCTCATGTGGCTTTGGCCCTGTAATGGGAACCTGGCAAACTATGTACTATATACGATTTATATAGAAATATAACGATAAATATAAATTGATCGGTTTATATAGAAATATAAAGATAAATATACATTGATCTATTTGTTTATTCCCTTTCTATACTATACTTTACTATAGTATACCAATCTCATATCCGAGTCATCAGAGCTAGTAGCTAGCTAGCCTTCACACCCTGAAGGGGACCAGCCGGCCTTGGCCTTTTCGGCCGCCGACTGCATTGCAGGGCAGCAACTTCTCCAAGACGGGAAGCGAGGAGCTGGCTTGACACTGTACTCTGCTGGAGCGGCTGGCTGGGAGATGGAACAAACACAATGCGACAAGGTTTATTCAAGTTATTTTGTTCGCTTATTCACCCAATAAACAAAAGTAGCTGGAGTCTGCAAAGAAAGCTGTTTCAGTTCAATGGGCTTCATACATGCGCAATGCACATTGACTTGCTGAAAAAGCACAGCAGCTAGTGACTAGTGACTATCTAGCTGCCTTGACTAGCAAGTTGTGACACCGGTTTCTATTTCTTTTCTAGGCTCAGACTCAGAATGACTCAGACTGCTGTTGCTGCAGCCCACTTCAAGACCCATGAAGCAGCATAGTCCACATGTTTTCCTGGCTTTAAGCTCAGCTTGTGCGCAAATTGGCTCAGCAATTCTCTAATTTCGATTCCAAAGCGGTTCCAACACTGTGCTAAGGGAAGCCTTTTGTCAAGTACATGCACCATATAATGGTGCCTAGGCATGGCAAGCACATACCCTCACCAGCCAGATCACGAATTTGGTTGGATGATATGGAGGATGGGTATTGGAATCCTCGCCGATGCCCTTGAAACATTGCCAACTCAACAGGAAGGACTATCCTGTCATGACCAAAACTGTACAGGGCTGTGGATGTAGCCAAACACCCAGTGACTCCCCTTGAATTTGTAAAGCTGGAGCGCTTTGGATTCTGTGAAACATCACAAAAAACGTTCTTCAAAAGGTCTTTCTTGACAGAGAAAGGAAGTGGATTCCCTAATTTGATCCCTTTTTCTTTCAGCTTGACAGCAGCCACAACATTGAGGATTGCTTTGACCCTGTCACTCTTAGGCATGCCCACGGCCTGACTTTCCTCCTGGTCCCAGACTTTCAAGCCCGATGGAAGCTGCAGAGAAGCCATCCACTCTGCGACTTGCGCCTGCCACTTGTCGCTTCGGTTGGCTGTGGTGCCTCTGTCCTGCAGCTACGGCTAAGGCTGAGGCTAAGGCATAAGGCTAGGGCTGCGAAGGCTGTAGTATAGTAGCTACAATTTCAAGAAAGCTAGAGTGTAGTATCTACAGAGCGCTCAAATAATCCAAATTAAATTCAAAAGTGTTGTCTACTACTTTACTTTTTTTAACTATTCTGCTGGTTCCGTATGCGGCGCAACGTAGACCAAATCTCAAAAGCATAAAAGACCAATCAACCAACAGTTCTCTCCTAGATTTGGAAATTCACAGAACTAGTGTCACTAGAGTTCACTAGAGTCTCACTAGAGTCACTAGAGTCAAAGCGGTTGAAAGGTAACCCAGAAAATAATCCACCCAGGGGTCACCATTTGTTGGGATTGATAAAACGTCACTTGCGCTGATGCAACCACATGGGTTGCACCAAAGCAAACCATGTTTAAGTGGTCCTGGTACTTGTGGCTCTTGGGAATTTCACTGTTAAGGTGTGAGGAATCAAACCTAAAAACAATAGTGTTGGTTTTTGTTTTCAGTTCAGTATGAATATGAGGGTGCTTCCCAGATGTTGGTGGCTGCGGCTAGTGCTACTAAGAATTTGGGGGGCCCTGCTTCCAATGGTGATAACTGAAGTTGGGATGGTGTCAAAACTGAATGCCGCGGCCATAATCACAGCTACACACCAGGCAGCCACATGGGCCTTAGAGCGCATTGGCTGTTGACAGCTAGAGAAGTATATCCGATATGCCGATATCCCATACCACAGCTATTCTTTTTTGTGTGTCAATTGTGAAAACTGTTTTAAAAAACTACTATATATATATATGCATGAGTTTGTCCTTATCTATGTATGTTTCTTGTCTAGGGTCTATAGTCTATAGTATCGGGCCTTCTATCATATATTGATTCCACCAAAAAAAAGAAAAATAGTGTTTTTGCTTAAAGTACCGGGCCTTCTATCATATATTGGCATGTTACCATTTTGCGTGCCAAGACATCTTTTGGTGGAAATCCCGGTACTATAATCAAAACACTCTTTTCCCTTTTGCGTCAAACATAAGGTATGTATGTATGTATGTATGTATGTATGTGTATGTATGTATGTAATGTAATGTAATGTAATGTAATGTCATGTAATGCAATGTAATGTAATGTAATGTAAGTAAGTATGTATGTATGTATGTATAGATGGATGGATGGATGGATGTATGGATGGATGGATGTACTGGTGACAAAAGTACCCTTAGTTAAAGGGTAATTATGAACGGTACCTCATTTTGAGACATACCCATGTATGTAAGTAAATATGTATGTATGTATGTATGTAGGTAGGTAGGTATGTATGTATGCATGTATGTATGTATGTAGGTATGTATGTAAATATGTATGTATATATGTGTTTGTATGTATGTATGTTTTTGTATGTATGTATGTATGTATGTATAGATGGATGGATGGATGGATGGATGAATGGATGGATGGATGTACTGGTGACAAAAGTACCCTTAATTAAAGGGTAATTATGAACGGCACCCCATTTTGAGACATACCCATGTATGTAAGTAAATATGTATGTATGTATGTAGGTAGGTAGGTAGGTATGTATATATGTATGTATATATGTATGTATGTATGTATGTATGTATGTATGTTTGTTTGTTTGTATGCATGCATGCATGTATGTATGTATGTATGTTTGTCTGTCTGTCTGTCTGTGTGTATGTATGTATGTCTGTCTGTCTGTCTGAAAGTATGTATGTATGTATGCATGCATGCATGCATGTATGTATGTATGCATATCTGTCATGTATGTATGTATGTATGGATGGATGGATGGATGGATGGATGGACGGATGTGTGTATGTATGGTATGGCATGGTTTGGTATGGTATGGGTATGGTATCGTATGGTATGGTATTGTATTGTTTTTTGTTGTATTGTATTGTATGTATATGTATATATGTATGCATGTGTGTATACACACAATGCAGAAGATGTATTTCGTGTAAAATATGTATCATATATCGAATATATCGGTATGTACATACATAAGTCATAAGTATACAGTGTACACAGTATACTCAGTATACAGTGCATAGTATATACTTTTCAGTATTCAAATGCTGCAACCCTCCTCCACTATGGTCTACAGAGTCTACAGTCTACAGTCACTACAGTACAGCAGGAACAGGCTGCAACCCTCCCCCACTACAGCAGGAACGGTTCTGGTTTTTCTCAAAAAATGACATGCATTTTACACATGCATTCCTGGCCTAAACCACCAGAAGGCCAAAACCAGCCTTTTCCTCGATAAAATGCATGTTTCTTGAATGTTTTTTGCATGTTCAGCCTTGCCTGTTGAAATTTGAAAGAAAATCTGGCAACATGCATTTTGGGCCTGCACCCCTGGAAGGTGAAAATACGCATTTTCCTCGAGAAAATGCATGTTTCTGGATCTCGTCCATGCATTTCTGGCTCCAGGCCCTGGAGGGTCAAAACATGCATTTTCCTCGAAAAAATGCATGTTTTTTGCATGTTGCCACCTGGATTCCAGCATTTTGGGGAAACTAGCAACATGCATGTTCCTGGAAGGTGAAAATCAGCATTTTCCTCGAGAAAATGCATGTTTTTTGCATGTTCTGAGTCCAATGTAAGCCTCAAACCCTTCAAAAATGTATCAAAAACATGCATTTTTTCGAGGAAATTGATTGATTTGCCTTGTTTGAGCACATTCTTGGAAATGCATGTCAAAAATGCATGTGCAAAAGTCCAGCTGCCCAGCTGCCAGCCGGCCACTCCAGCGACCAGCCTGGCAGCCAGCCAGCCCTCCCCTTCTCGTCCTGCTTCTTCTCATTTAGTAGCTTGTTCATCCAGGTCGAATAGTCTTGTCCATGAGCTGGCAGCATGAACTCGGTCAGCTCTTTAGGCTCAATCTGCTGCTGCTTGTCAAGAACCTCCTGGAGCCAGCAACTTGGTCTTATTGAAAAAGTGAAAAATCTGAGCTGTGTTTCTCACATGGGAATATTAGAAATATATACATATTATGTCATATTAGTATATATATATATTATATATTATATATATATTATATATATATTATATATATACAAAAATGTGTATGCCTTAATGGCAAATGGCATATGGTAATAAAATACTGAAACATCATGAATCATATGTTGTATTTGATTTTTCATTTTTTCAAACACGATATGGCTTAGGCTGGTTCTGATACATAGTACAAATATATGATATCTGGAAATATGTATATGTATGCCTGAAATGGATGATGCCACATATCACTGGAGGCTTGCTTGAACATGACAAGAAGCTCTGTTGGAAGTAGTGACGTATCCTGGGGGACCCCTTCAATACAACACTGTAAATAGTCGATTTTACACTACTACTACTACTGCTGCTGCTGCTGCTACTACTACTACTACTACTACGACTACGACTACGACTACTACTACGACTACGGCTACGACTACGACTACTACCACTACCACTACCACTACTACCACGACTACCACTACCACTACCACTACCACTACCACTACCACTACCACTACTGCTACTACTACTACTACTACTACCACTACTACTACTACTACGACGACAACGACAACGACGACTACGACTACGACTACGACTACTACTACTACTACTACTACCACTACCACTACCACTATCACTACCACTACCACTACCGCTACCGCTACCCCTACCACTACCACTACCACTACCACTACTACTACTATTATTACTACTACTGCTACTACTACTACTGCTACTACTACTACTACCACTACCTACTACCTACTACCTACTACCTACTACCTACTACCTACTACCTACTACCTACTACCTACTACCTACTAACTACTAACTACTAACTACTAACTACTAACTACTAACTGTCTACTAACTACTAACTACTAACTACTAACTACTATCTACTAACTGCTTACTACTAACTACTAACTGCTTACTACTTACTCTCTTATAAATAAACTTAGCCCTAGATGCACCTGCCACATCTGCCGCGCCTACCACAGCCTGAGCAACCTCCTGACGGACCTGACCTCCAAATCCCTGCGCAACCTCCTGACGGACCTGACCTGTGTGGCCTGCCACGTCACTTGCCGCGCCTACCACAGAAGCCTGCGCAACCTCCTGACGGACCTGACCTCCATGCCCTGCGCAACCTCCTGACGGACCTGACCTGTGTGGCCTGCCACGTCACTTGCCGCGCCTACCACAGAAGCCTGCGCAACCTCCTGTCGGACCTGACCTCCAGAACCCTGCGCAACCTCCTGTCGGACCTGACCTGCGGGGCAGAGTGACATAGACCCTCAAAACATCCAATTTATAGTGGAAACTAATCTTTCAACCCCTATCTGCCAGGGTCTATGTTAATTTACCAAATAGTTTTGCACTTATTCGTTTTCTAGGGTTAAGTTTACTTATAAGAGAGTACTACTTACTACTTCCTACTTCCTACTTCCTAACTACGACTACAACTAAAACTACAACTACTAGCTACTACAACCCCCAAGACCCAAATCCCAAGAATGACCACCAGTCACCATGGTCACCAGCGCAAAACATCCTGGACCAGCCGCTTGAATCTCTGAACATCGATTTTGTCGTAGATATCCTTCCGGAAAAAGCACATATAGATCCTGGAGGGAAAATTTGCGGATACATGCGCAACATAGCGAGGCAGTGAGTAGGCAATCAAGGGTTGAGGTGCTGAAGCTACTCGATTATCCAGTCCAAATGTTTCAATCTGTGGAAATGGTTTCTTTGACATCGAACTCGGTATACAACGGGGGCCAGGTTCTATTCAATAGTCTTTTTGGGCGGTTCTAGATTCCAAATATTGATGTGGGTGGGCACATCAAGGGTTGATTATTTAGTTTGATGTCCAACAGAAATAGATCACCACTGAAAACATTTTGTCAAGGAACATGTGATCCCAACATCTTGTATCTGGTACTATCTGATGTTGTTGCTCCATTACATCATCATCATCAGTCACTGGACCTGACCTAACCCCCAATCTTGGTGTTGATATGCTTTGGATTGAGTAATGTCCAACAAAACCTTGGAAAAAACATGTTAATACCCCCCTGGTCACTCTGTTTCGATTCAGATTCTAACCAACGATTGTTGACCCTGCCATCATCCCTTGGCAACCTGGATTGGATGGATGCTACTGACTGCAAATTGGGCAAACTATCATCGCTTGTATATGGGTTTGAAAGTGATTTCTTCAGCCATGCTGCTCCCATATTATGAATGACATGGTATGCTAGTGGATGGGTATCTCAGTATGACTGACTTAAAATGGTTTGCTATGGCCAAAAAACACTTGGATTTAAATCAAAACATCATCATTGTGTTTGGGGGTATGCAATTACATCGTTGTCAGATTCTCATCAGTGCACAACAAAGCAACCCAGTGACCCGAATCAGCTGTAAATGCACGTAGCTGCTGTAGCTGTAGCAGCCGCATTTTTTCCTAAGGAAAAAAATGATGTCAACGAGGCAGCTTGTCTGATCTCAGATCAACAGCTTGTCTGAATTCAGCAGAAAGTTGAGAAGAACTTGAGAAGAGGCTCTGCTGGGATCGCTGGGACTGGGACTGGGGCAAATCAAGTTGGAAAGAGATGGGATATATTTCGGATATATGAACACATGATCAAGTAAAAATATCTCAATATATATATATATATATACATATATATATATATGTTTATATGTTTTTATTTGTTTATTTATGCCCAGTCCACCGGCCAATCAAGTTGACAGCCCTTGCAGTTCGCAAAGGCGTTTGATCTTTGCATCTAGCACATCTGCGGTCTCCAATCCTGTCTTTGGAGGCACCTGACTTGACATTGACATGTAACTGGTGGCCCTTGGGCGAATAGCAGGATAGCATCAGAAAATGTAAGTGTAATCCGTAAACCATAAACAACAAGGTTCAATCCAGGCAAGTAGCGATCAGTAAACCATAATAATTATCCCAAAATGACTCCATAATCCACCATCGTCACTTCCTGCTGGATCACTGTTTTCAACATAATGATTCCATAATGGGAATATCCTTCTGGTAGATTCTTTTATGACGATTAGTGGCTTGCCCCCCCTTCAGAAACTAAGCCATGAACCATTCGCACATGTCTCTTCCTGGTGTCCTCAGCAGCCTCACCTGGCACATCGTCCAGTTCCAGTCCTTGGTATCCCGGGAAGAGAATGTATGTGGGCATATGCATGAATATGTATATATATATATTATATTATTATACTATATATATATATAGATAGATACATATATATATACACATATATATATATATATACATATATATATATTTCTTCATTGCTTTAAGTATATACTTATTGATTGGTATATTTACTTATTTGTTCACTTGTAGTTCTATATATATGTTGAGCGAAATCCAAAGCACCCTGTACCAGACCTAGGACCTAGGCCCTAGACAATACTTTTTTCAAATTTGCCCGTTTGTTTTGGCATTCCAAAAAAGCCACCGCAAGTCTACATCCCAACAACTTTTTTCCTGCAGTTTTGGGTTGGTGGGGCCTGGTCTTTTCTGGGGGTACCAAGCCCACCAAATAGGAAAATTGTTAGCACTTTTGTGGTGTACGCCTGCTCGCAATAGAGGCGCCTTTGACAATCCAAGTGCGAAGACGAAGAAGAACAGTAGCTTCATCAGGCTGGTTTGTCTGCATAGACTTGACGCATTGCCTTCCATGACCAGAATGAAGAGCGCACTTGCAATAGTACGATTCAACCTGGGAAATCGGTGGCGACAACTCTATCAGACTCTATCAAGGGTTTTCTGAGAACAAGGGCTTACAATCCTTCAAAGGCCTACAACCAAGAACCTTACAAGCTTACAAGTTACAAGAGCCTACAAGGCAAGCTGGTTGAGAAGTATACTAGCTAGCTAGCGGCTAGCAGCTAGCAGCAGCTACCTAGCCCCTGCCAAACACAGCAATCAACCACAGCTGACAGCAAATAGAACACATCAATACAGTTCAATATAGTAATCAATTTGGAATGCAAGTCACTGGGTGGTATCGCTTCACGATTGTGAAGGGCCCAATGAAGATAGTGCTGGGATCCAGAAGTGATGAAGATTGAGCTCCAGCTTCACTAAGAGTGGCAGGGGTTGGACGAGGGGCTTGATTGCTATTGCTGGGGCCGCTGCGGTTGGGGCGAGGTGCTGTAGAAGGACGTGCTTGCTCACCAGCTCTGCTACTACTACTACTGCTGCTGGAACTGCTGCTGCTACTGCTGCTACTACTTTTGTGGTCAGCAGCAACAAGTTCGCTCTGCAGTGCAGGTTCAGCAGTTTGTTCGGGATGGACTGGAAAGCAAGCCACAGGCGCTTCAAGACCCCCTTCTTCCATATCATTTTCTGCTGAATCAACACCTGACCACAAATCATGTAGCAAGTCAAGAACCTCATCAGGGTTGCCCTCAGCTTCAACCGCCGCTTCCTCTTCTGAAACTTCCTCCTCACCCAGCCCCTCCAACACAGCAAGAAGCTGATCCGGATCATTGAGATCGAGCGCTTGGTCCAATTCCTTGTCCTGATCCTCATGGGCATCTGTATCTGAATCTTGCGAAGGTATGGAGATGTCATCATTAGCAGACCCCACCTCTCCCGTGTCATCAGCAACTCCTTCCTCTCCTGCCCCCTCATTTTGTTGCACCTTCCTAGTCCTAGCGGTCCTAGCGACAACTCTGCGAACAAACACCTCTTTGCGGTCGTGTTGGTCAGGATCCCCTGGTTTTGGTTTTGGAGGCTCACGCTTGCGATGTTTTGAAATCTTGGGTGCGCATTCCACATCACTACCACGCCAAAAGCAATGTGATTGACTCCCTGTTTCAAGAATCACATCCACATACTTTGAGGGCATGAAAGACTCATCAACTTCCGAATCGCCACTGACAATCCTCAAGAATCGACAATAGTATGGCTTGCCAGGATTCAAGTACAACTTGAGGAATTGGAGGCAAGTGCGTACCTCAATATCATCCGCTGTCTGCAACAAGAGTTGGCCTCAGCATTTGAATCAGTGAGTGGGCCCGGAAGTAGGAGATTGACCCTAAGCTGCTGCGGTCTTAGGTCTTACCCCCAAAGTCATTGGTCTCAATGATTGTCGTGTCAGAGCCATAATGTCAATTGTGCCACTATATTTTTTGCCAGCGTCATAGTCATTGTCAAAATCAATAGTTACACTGCACAATGTTTCTCATTGTCATAGCCACCATTGCCGCTGTCATTGCCACAACACACAAGTGAGCGAAAACAAAGGCTCCTAAATACGCCTGGGCCTAAGCCTAGGGCCTAGGGGCCTAGGGGCCTAGGGCCTAGGCATAGGGCATAGGCATAGGGCATAGGCAAAGACATAAACATAGTATACTGACATACCGATACAGATGCATTGTACCTTTAAGCACATTAATAAGTAAACAAAAAACACGGCATGTTTTCTCAAACCATGACCGTTCCTGCATTCACCACTCACCATCAGACTCTCCAGATGAGACTTTCCACTTCCTTTGGCACTTTTACTGTCTGTCAGGATAAGAGGGATTGTTGTTGCACGGCAGATGCATATGCCCATTCCGAGCAAGTGTGTGTGTGTGTATTCAGTGTATTACTAGTTACTAGTTAGTAATAATCAGTGGTAGAAACATTTCTAAGTTGCTCTACTCTACCAAGTTCTGGTTCCACCAGATCAAAAGGGAGAAGAGGATCAAATAATGCAGCATCATGACTTGACTGGGACCAGGAACCTGTGAATGGGTTGTAGAAGCAATGAAGCAAGCGAGTGCAGGCAGTCTCCCAAGTCGAAAAGTTGGTGAACCCGAGATGCAAATACACTGTTTCAGAACCTGCTTCCCTGCCGCTGCCAGGCGCAAGCAAGTCATGAATCTCTTCAGAAGCAAGCTCCAGTACCACCAGGCCCTCTTTGTAGCGGACCAGTTCCGAGGATGGTTTCTTCTGAGTACCAGGATGGGCTTCTTTCAAATGGGAACGAAGTTTGTGCCACATTAAAAGGAACTCTTTCCCTTTTGGCCCACACACGCATGTCCCCAGCTTTGCGCATGGTGACAATGAAAACTGTTTTGCTGGGCCTGGTTGCAAACTGGCAAGCTCTTCATGCTGAACAAGTTCATGATCCTTCATCCACTGATTAACCATATCACTTAGGCGCAATTGTCCATCAATCCTAGCCTTTTCGTGCAAGCAAGCTTTCAGGAATTGAACCATTGGAAGTTTCCATTGGAAATGATCCACTACCATTTTCCCTGTAGGTGCATGCCTCAAGCCATGCAGAAAGCCTGGGCCACCAAACCTTGCCAGCTCCTGGGCTGCTAAGTCACGGCTACCATCCCCTGTCGGGTCATCAACAGTCTGGGCTGCGAGTTTGTCCTGTCGTTTTTGCTTCTGCTCGGCATGTACAATTTGACAGAAAGAAGAAAACCTCGAGTCAAAGTTGTCCCCGTCCATAGCAAAACTAGGGTTCGCTACAGCAAGTGCATCCTGACTGGAGATTGCAATTTCAGCCACTTGGTTTGCTTCTGCCTGGATCTGTTTGCCTCGCAACGCTTGATACTTGTGTTGCGCAGTAAGAATTGCGCCAATTTGTTTGAAATGAGAATAGTCCTCAGGTGACAATTGTCTGTACTCATGCTTCAAGTTTCGAATGATTTCCCGACTGAGCTTCACCCCCTTGCACCTTTCAGATAAAAATGCCCTCCAAGGGCCTCCACCCCCACTGGCTCGATGAACAGGCGCCTCTGGAAACACCTGGTCCTCCTGTTGCTTGGCTGCATCATGGTCAGCAAAGTTGTGGTTGTGGTGTTTGGCGATGAACCGGCAAACAGCTTTTGCGCTGACCTCTGGGAGATTCGCAGCATGACCTCTGCCACGTGCCTTCGTGTACTCTCTGATGCTGCTATGCCCGCATTCCATAGTGCTGATGTCCTTAGATAGGGCTTGGATCAAGTGGGTAGGTTTCTATAATATAGATTCGTTCTGATTGGCGCTGACACTGAAATACTGTATATTCAATCAATCAAACAGCTTGGATAATCTAGGTAGATTCGGTGCATTGTTTTGATGTTTTCCGTTGATAATTTGAACTGTCAAGATGAAATCTTGTGATCTGAGAGAGTATTCAATACCAGGTACCAGCTACCAGGACCAAGAAGTTTACTGACAACAGAGACCAATCTAGGTGCTGCTTCAAACTTCCCTAATGGATGCTTTGTTCTAGATTCTAGATTCTAGGCCCTAGCCGCTCTAGCCGCCTAAGCCTCCATGCCCCACTGTTTTGTCCAGTGAACAAAGCAAACTTGAAGGTTTGGTTGATTTCTCAGTAATTAATCTTGTGAAGACATTGTATACTCAAGTATAGTATACTCAATGGCACAATGGTTGTAATGACAGGACCGCTATTGACACAAGAATAGGCACATGGCTTCCAAACTTTTGGAAACAATTCAGCGCAATACACTCGGGAAGAGAATCTGTTTCCACCATGAGCGCCAAGCATTGCAAGAATGCAAGGGCAGCTTCTGAAGTGCCGCTCTCCAAGGTGGGGTACTTTGTGAAAAAAGTCGCTGCCAATTCGTCCCAAGAGCATTGTTTGGCTGAGTAGACAGCACGGGCCCCAGCTTTCCCATCCAGAATCCGAAAAAGCAGGTATGGGAAACCAAGGTGAAACCTTCTCAATGTTGCATGGACATTGCAAAGAAAAGAACTCATCATTCGAAACAGAAAAGACCTTGAACTCAAAGTGTAGCATCGTTTTGGCAGTGCTGGTTCGACAGTTTGTATGCGCAAAGAGACTTCTTGAAAACATTTGTTAACCAAAGTAGCCCTAGCAGTTTCCAAAACACGGTAAGTTCTTTCTTCCCCTGCAACCACTTTCCGCTGTTGCTGGATTTCAAACTCTGAGTCTGCCAGTCGAAATGCTTCATGGAGCATGGCCATGCCAGGTTCCAAAGCCACTGCGGTGAGTACAAGCCTCTGCTGCAAATCAGCCAGGCACACGAAAAGGCCAGCCTTGTACTTCCTTTGCCTGTTGATCTTGGCCCAGTCGGTCCCTTCTCCACCCTCACCTTGCCCTTCAACCTCCTGGCCCCGTTCCCCTTCCCCAGCCCCAGGACCCACATCATCTTGAACTTCATCCTCCATCCCTTCCTCTGACTCTGGCTCTTCTGCATCCTGCTGCTCATCAGGATGAAACATCGTTCCTGCTTCTGCAGCTGCATCCTGCCAGAGTTAACTGTGTTTACTGGCTTTGTTCGTGTTGTTTGTTGACTGGCTTGGGCAAGGGGCTAAAGACCTCGTGATCTAGCAGGAATTTTGTCCTCCAATGCAATGTACCCAAGAGTCTAGTCTAGGTCCAGGTAATCTAATTAAGTCTAGTCTAGTCAGAGTCTAGTCTAGGTTTGGAGTTTGGAGTGTTGAGCATTGCCTGGAAAATTTTGAAGTTGGAAAAATTAGTTTGGTCGGTCTACAATATCCCATTCAACCCTCTTGGTGTGATTAGGAACCATTGAGCAACCAAATCAAGAGGTGAAACTTGGTTTTTCATAGTATCATAGTGTAACTAGATAGTATCATGTCTGAAGTCTGATGGTGGCCCAGTCCTGCAACAACTTGTTAAAAGCTGTCATGTCCTCAACCAAAGGATCATCACCCAGTGCAGGCAATGAAGCGGCTTCAGCTGCAGCAGCTGCATCTTCTTGGGCAGGACCAGGACCAGGATTGCCCAAATGGCGGTTCGGCTGGAGGAGACGGAGTATGACACGTGGCAGCAAGCCCCAAAAACCATTGAGCAGACCAGCCCAACGCACCGCAACATCACTGCCAGTCCAGGATTTACGTTGCAAAACTTGCATCTTGGATGGCAGAAGACTCCATGTAACCCAGCGTTGAAATATCATCCTGCAGTGGTCCGGTGAAGCACAACAGTTGAACGAACAGTAATGGATGATTTCCTCACCGGCTATGTCTGAGTTGCACATGGTCTGTAAAATATATCTTCGCTTCAATGACTTTGGACCTTGGATAGGGAGAAATAAGTCCAGAACGCCTTTCCTGTGCAGAAAACTTTCAGAATGCTCATCCGGGGGGTGGCCCATGACCACGATCAAGTCTTGATCAAATATATCCTGTAGGATGCTGCGCATCCTTGACAGGACTCCACTTCCTTCAAGGGCCAGTCCCAAGTTGACAAGGCCGCTCAGGCTGCCATCGGCCTCAGCCAATGACAACCCTTTCTTGATGCACCCTGATGCTCTGTGCACATCGCACGAGATCACACATGCGATCATGTTTGAAGACCTTGATCTTAAGTGTCTTTCAGCTTTGAAATTTGCGCTGAAACGATCCACTACTGCCAAGCGAATCACATGTTCGAAATCGTTCTCGAAGGCTTTCAACTCTGGCAAGCGGGTCATCGCATTGTCAATGACTTTGACCAAACATTCAGAGGTGTTGCGGCTCACTGCTGTCAGAGGCAAGGGGATTGCAAGGGTCATGTACTTGTGTTTTCCACTGGCTTTGTCCAGTATGAGGAACCCAAGTTCCCATTCCAAACGTAAAATTTTACAATACCTGGATTCTGATTGATCCCCAGAAATCGGTGTTTGGCCTTCCTGGACCAAGAACTGGTTGTACTCCTGCAATTTCATTTTCAGAGGTGTCTCATCATACCGCATTTTGTGGACCAATACTTTTGGTAAGAACCTGCCGTTTCTAAACAATTGACGCCAAGCTGAAAGGCAAGCCCCAATAATCCAAGCACTCCCATGGACGATGCAAGTACCACATCTGAACAAGTAATCTTTCAAGGAATGAACCGACTTCTCAGCTGTCTCTGCGACTACAGCCATGGACTTCAATGTTGATGAGCCAACAAAATTTTTTAAAATTATGCCAGTCATCAAAGGTGGACCTTTGTCAGCTTCCTCAGGGCCACAATCTGGATTGGGGAGAGCCCCAAACTTTGTCATGAAGCGGATGAACTGTTCATACATTGCAATCTGTAAATTGGACCCTAAGTTTCTCATATGGTCTGGTTTCCCCAGCCAGTGTGTCATAGGCACTTGCACGATACCAGCATCATCAGTGTTCACGCCAGGCTCAGAAGGCCCACCTAGACCTACACCGTCCTCAAAAAAACCATTGAACAAGTCAGCCTCGTCCTGCGCTTGGGCTCTACTCTGCTCGACTTGCTCAGCACTGGGTTGCTCAGCAGCGGAAAGCAATTCGTTGAAGAGATCGGCTTCATCGTCAGAAGATTCATTCATGGCTCGAAGCCGGCTAGGCCCGCCTATGCACTGGTTCACCTATACTTAACTCTTAGCCAGAATGTAAGCCTAAGTCTCTAACCGCTAATCGTAACCCGATGTCTAAGTCTGTGTAGCAGCATTTTACAGCCTGCGCTCTGGGGAATCTTTTGTAGAATCTGGTAAGACCCGGATATCTGAATCTGAGGGTTTCTCCCTGTCATGTTTCAACTATGGAGCTTTTGCAAAGATCTCAGTTTGAGCCTCTCAGCAGGTAGTAAAGAACGATATCTAATATGATAGCCGATAGTCTGATAGCCATACCCCATTGCCACAGCCATATATGCCATAGCCGCTTCACTGTTACACCCATGCCATAGCCATGCCATAGGCATAGCCTTCAGCCCAACAACCAGTACCCAGTGCCCAAACCCAAATGGTCCTTGGCCGGCTGATCTTCATCCACAGGGAACTATCCAGGTCAAAGGAACAATACCAATAGCCGCCTCCATGATTGAAGGACGCCTGTCCCATAGCTCTCAGAAACCTTGGGCTGCACAACTGTTGGCACTGACCAACCAGAGTGGCTGCCATGACATTAATCATTGTCAGTATCATTACATGGCATATATGGTATACCATACCTGCTGAATTCACCCTTTGAGTCCATTGAACAAATATTGAAGTTTTGTTGTTCCCCACCTGCCAGGTGAGGGTTGTTAGATTTTATCACAGTTGTTCTCGGCTAGCTTCTCCTCCTCCTCCTCCTTCTCGTCGTCGTCCTCCTCGTCCTCCTCGTCCTCCTCCGCTAAGCTCTGATAGAATGCCAGAAGATATGCCAGATAGAGTGCCAGAAGATATGCCAGATAGAATGTCAGAAGATATACCAGATAGAATGTCAGAAGGTATGCCAGATAGAATGTCAGAAGATATGTCAGAAGATATGTCACTAGATATGCCAGATAGAATGTCAGATAGAATGCCAGAAGATATGCCAGATAAAGTGACAGAATGTTTGCCAGATAGAATGCCAGATAGAATGCCAGAAGATATGCCAGACAGAGTGCCAAAAGATATGCCAGGTACAATGTCAAAAGATATGTCAGAAGATATGCCAGACAGAGTGCCAGAAGATATGCCAGATAGAATGTCAGAAGATATACCAGATAGAATGTCAGAAGATATGTCAGATAAAATGCCAGAAGGTATGCCAGATAGAATGCCAGATAAAATGCCAGATAGAATGCCAGAAGATATGCCAGAACATATTGCAGAAGATATGCCAGGTAGAATGCCAGATAGAATGTCAGAAGATATGCCAGATAGAATGCCAGATAAAATGTCAGATAGAATGCCAGAAGATATGCCAGAACATATTGCAGAAGATATGCCAGGTAGAATGTCAGAAGATATGCCAGATAGAATGTCAGAAGATATGCTAGAAGATATGCCAGAAAAAATGTCAGAAGATATGCCAGATGAAGTGCCAGAATGTTTGCCAGATAAAATGTCAGAAGATTTGCCAGTACCAAAACGTATAAATGTCATGGTGGTGATAACTCGAAGTAAACTAATTCTAAATTCTAAATGTTTTGTTTGAATGTACACTTGTTCAGACTATAGTGACTATAGTGGCTATAGTGATAGTGATAGTGATAGTGACAGACTGCAGGTGATTACAGCTTACAGAACACTACACTACTACATCCCAGTTTGAGGGCCCCACCACTCTTGGATCTTGGATGGTGTTACTGTTAGTCTTAAATCTTTGGGCCTGAAGTAGGGTCACGAAGGGGTCAGAATATTGTATGAAAACATGGAATAACCGTTTGAATAACCAAAAAAAATGCCATGGAGTAGTCAAACCATAATTTCAATCAGAGTTGCTTTTGTTGGGGTGTTTCTGTGTCAGACCCTCCTGTCACCATGGCAAAGCCTTTGACCTGCTCTGTGATTCCAGCATGTGGTTCAAACTTGCTGTAAAAGGAAACCACATCTGCCATAGTTGTGTTGTGCATGCTGTGGGATGCAACATCACCCTCTGTGAACCGTTTTGCCCGCGCTGTGGAGTACGGGTTGCAAGGGGACCCGGTCACCCCCAAGGAAACTCCCTTGGGGACAGTGCAGCTGCATTGTGTTCCCCCGGGATGCAAACTGCAAGGTCCACCCTCCAACATCGATTCTAAGGTTCCCCAGAGATGCTTCAAGCTGGCAGGGTTGTTGGCCTTGATCACTTCCTGGTACTGCAAGTTCTTCTCGGCCGCACCGACGATGCTGAAAGGAATCCCAAGGGCCTGGGTAAGACTGTGACTGTGAAAGAAATGGTGGTTAAGGATGGCAGGGGCACGCATCATTGCCCCACCAGTCCAAGTCAGGTCATATATTCATACTATATTACATTAAATTAGATATGTCTAAGTCTATGTCTATGTCTATGTCACTAATATCTTCTTGTTGCTGGCAAAGTCAGAGTTTTATACACTCGGAAACATAGTTAAATCAAATCTACATTAGACATCAGAAACAATAGATTCGTAGATTCAACATCAACTATAACAGCTTTGCCTCACGAATAGAGAATAACTATTGTTTTGCTGTATCTAGCAAATTGGAATATAAAGTGCTTGGCGCACCAGGTCACAGAATAGGTACAAATCTCAGTGAGGTTGGGATGTTGCCTTCCATTTCCTGAAGATAGCAAGACAAGACTTGTTGCTTTGTGTGTAGGACCGTATGAGCTGGAAAACAGAAAAGGACATTTTTAAAAAAATGATGGAACAATACTAAGTACTCATGATTGCTCCACACCTCGATTCTACATTCCACAACAGCCCATACCTGGTAGATAGCAAATAGCCTCAGCCAGATCTGATACTAAACCCATGCCCCATACTAACCTTACTAACCAAGTAACTCTAAGAACTTCAGCTTCTGCGCAAGATCCAGCGCAAGCAGACACCAGAGAAACGGGTCTCATGTGCAGGGGGTCTCAAGCATGTTCTTCAACATGTTTTTTCAAAATTGGTGCCCACCAACATGTGGTTTTCCTGTGCTGGCTTGGGCTTTCAGAAGATGAATCAATTGACCCATCACCGCTCTCAGGCCCACAGGTGCCAGACTCTGACCTGGCACAGTCTGCAGCCAACTCATCGCAGATTCCCTGCGCTGCGTCGGAAAAGAGCTGCTCAAACAACTCTGACTCTTCTAGCCCCAGCATGGCAGCCGGTGGCGGTGGTTGAATTGGTTTGCAGTGATTGGACAAATGCCCTAGTTGATACTATATTACTTTCTATACTATATTACTATACCCTAGTTGCTAGTTTCACTAGATTCCTAGATGCTGTTGGTTCCTGTCGCTGTGGTCAGGCCAGGATTGAGCACGTGTCTCAACTCACTAGGATTGTAATTGACCAACCTTAGAAGGAACTATTGTTCTTCCTTCTGTCCTATCCTGTCCTGTCAATGCGGCGGTGTTGGTCGAGCGTGACTGTTGTGACCAAGTGGACCAAATGGACTCTGAGGTTCAAACAAAATAGAAAACAATCAAAGCCTACGTCCTAGGGCCTAGGGTTATGAACACATATATGCATACACACATATATAATTGAAGGAAGTTTAGAAGTCAAACTTCCGACAATATAGACAGATGAAAAGCAGAGCAGGGAAAAGCAGAGAGAAGAGAAAGATTAGAAGAGAGAAGATCAGAAGAGAAAGAGTCAGAAGAAAGAAGATGCAGATGCGCGAGAAGGTAGGAAAGTCGCGAAGCACTGCGTTTTCCAAATGATTTGTGGCTCCGGAGGGTCGAAAAGTAGGCCTTCACGTACACAGAAAGTGGTACAACAATATTCCAGGAGAGATATGTTTACAAACAACCAGGTGACCAGGTTATCAAACCCAGTGCTAAACTGGTATCAGAGACCAATTTCCTTTGGTGCATATATCAGAATATCATATATATATATATATGTGTGTGCATTATACATCTCTTTCTCCGTGTCTCTCACTTGCCTGCCCTTGCCACATGGCAAAGGACAATGGAATCAAAGTTGCCAATGTGTATTAAACACTAGTGGCATGGAAAAAACAACATGCATTTCTGACATGCAAAAATAAACCAGTCAAAACAACATGCATTTTTAACATGCAAAAAACATTCATTTTGAATCCCTTTTTTGGAGATGTCTCTGTAGCAGATGGGATGTCATAACTCTAGCCAGTGCCCACCTGCGGTGCTCCTTGCCACAGAAGCCAAAGCTGAACTCAATGCCGGCTTGATCATTGTCACAGGGCATATCCCGACCGGTACAGCCGATGTCGATATGGACCAGGCAACCCCGGATGCATTCATGCCCCTGACTGCTGCCCAAGGCTCCTCTCCAAGTGATGCACCCGCCCCAAAAGCACGACGAATAGCCCACCCCGCCAACCGCAGATCAGCAGATGAATGGGTCACCGCACTCCAAGATAGCCGAGCCAGTTTCCTAGCTACTACAGCTGTGCCAGAAGACCCCGCGGAGGCGATGAGAGGCGGACTACTTCTCACCCCTTTACTAGGCTGTAAAGCTAGAACCCCGCTTGACTGGACACATGCATGGGCAATGCTAGGCGAATGGGCTGGAGCCATTGCATTCCCCATCCCGGAGCAAGGAGAATGGCCGCGTCATGGAGATGGCCGCTACCTAAGACCGGACTTTGTCGAGCGGACCCCGCCCTTCCTTACCTGGGCGCGCCCTATATTCGAGCAAGGTGCACTCTCCCCTATGTCTGTTTTCCCAGCCGACTTCCCATACTCTGTCTCCCAGGAGACAAATTGTTCCAAAGCAAGGAGTTAGCCAGAGGGTATAGCCTGCCACCAATAGTGCACGCCTTCCATGGGAGTAAAGTAGGCCTGGGACACCAACTTCAACAGTGGCAAAGCAAAGGGCTGCAACCGCTTGCTGTGTCGCTCATAGGAGTCGATGAGGCACCCCCGTTATGGACACACCCCACAGGCTGCGATTTCGTTAGAGGGAGTAAAATAGTCG